GCCATCTGGAAGTCTCAGAACTACTGTCTTCGGAGGTGAGGATGGGGAGCCACCACCTACCTTGCTTCCCTCGTAGCCAGGTGAAATGGGGGTGGGGGGGCGGGGTGAAGGTGAAGCGGTCAGTTGAACATCACAGGGGCCTGTGGGGATGGCTGTGCCTGTGTGAGCCTGCTCGTGCTTGTGTGTTGGGGGCAGGAGCTCATTCTCCAGGCGACCTCCAGTGCAGGACACGGGGCTCCAGTTCTCAAAGGCTGAGCTCCTGAGAAGCGGCCTTTCCCTCTGCCAGCTCCACCGGCTGCGACCACCAGGGCCTGTCCCTGCCAGCCCCAGCCTCCCCAGCCGCTCTGGCTCTGGCTCTGAGGCTCCTGGCCAGCCTTGTGCAACCCCAGGACTCCAGCTATTTCTCCTCCCCTTTGCCCTGCTCCCAGTGTCTCCCCAAACTCCAAACCCCCTTGGGGTTCATGCTTTTTCTCAGCTCTCATCTCTGCTTAACTCAGCATGGCCCTGGCGTCTGGGGAGGGGTGCAGGGTACTGCTCCCTGGTAACCAAAAGGGCAGCCCAGTGAGCTTTGCTGTAAACAGCGTAAGTGGCCACAGTTAAAATTCCGAGAGCCCGCATTTACCAGCAAAGCTGAAGCAGCCTCAGGTGCCCTGGGAAGCCCGCTGCCCATGGTCACATGACGAAGGAAGGAAGGTATGAGGCCGTTTTGGCCCCTGAGCCTAGGTGTGTATGTGAAACACGGATCTGTGTGAGTCTGTCTGTGTGCAGGGGGCACAGCTCAGCCCGGGCTGGTGAAATGGGGCCCCCGCAGAGCTCTCAGGCCCACTCCCCAGTGCGAGTCCTTGGGGTGGCCTGGGCCTGGTCCCGAGTGGACAAGATCCAGGAACCTGGGCCAAGGCCTGGGTGGGGAGGTATTCATGGAACTGGCTGGTTCGGGAGTGGCATCTACCTGCAGCCCAGCTGTGCAGGGGGCTGGGAAGGCCAAGTCCCAGGGTCTGGGTGGGCCTAGTCCTGCCCTGCCCACCCCCTCACTGCCCTGACTGGTTCACAGCTGGGTGGCCGGTCATCAGGACTTCACTTACCGGTGTTAAAAAACAGAATTCAACTGAGTAAACTTGAAGATCTACTTGGTTTTTTAATTTTTTATTTTTACTTTAAAGATTTTTAAAATTGATTTTTAGAGACAGAGGAGGAAAGGAGAGGGAGTGTGAAAGTGAAGCAAGGATTGGCTGCCTCCTGCAAGGCCCCCTATTAGGGATGGATCTTGTGAGGACATTGATCAGCTGCCTCCTGTAAGCCCCCTGCCAGGGATAGAGCCCGAAACCCAGGCATGTGCCCTGACCAGGAATCGAACCAGCAACCATTCTGTGCCCAGGACGACGCCCAGCCAACTGAGCCACACTGGCCAGGGCCTAATTGGCTTTATTAAATGACTCATGAAGGGTGCTCTGAGGGGTGGTATAAAAAGGAAGGTTTTTATAGGAAGAAGAGTGGGGCAAGGGAGCTATGAGTAAAAGAAAAGAAAGGTTATTTGGGCCCTCAATGTCTTTTTTGGGGGAAGAGAATGGGAGGGTTTTGCCATTCAGATTGCCCTTTTTTTTCTATGGGGCATGGAGAGGGCCTACATGGCAGATTATGTTATTGGTGCTTGACAAGAAAATTCCAGCCTGGGTGAGATTACTTTCCTGGGAGAGGTTGAAACTGCAGTTAGATCAGGTATTAAACCTACGTTTGGCATCATGAGCGTTAGCATGAGTGATGCCGTTTTGGGGCCTGTGGTTTTCTCTTCAATACCAGGTCCCTGCCTCCAGCTACCTAGGGGGTTCTCCCCGTCTCAGGCAAGGCCTTCCAAGTCCTAAGCCCGGGTGAGTCATCTCCTTGACAGCTGAGCACAGATGTAACTTTCCTCAGATTCTCCAAGGAGGCCTTGACCCCTGCTGTGGGACGAGGATCCTAGGTCTCTCTAGTCTCTACCAGCCTCAGATTTCTAGGACTTCTGCTCCTCCAGGGGTAAGTGGGACCTAGCCCGCCTCTTTTTTTGACCCCCCCACCCCGCCCCCTCTCTGTTATACATTGGGACCCCTCAGATAGTCTTTCCTGCCAGGCTGGGGGCCTCAATTGAGCTGCACCCACCTTCCTTTCCTCCTCCCTCCCCATTTCCGTTGAACTTGCCTTTGATTCTCAGATACACCTCTTGAAGTCCCACTGATCCTAAAGGAGGGCTGTTATCCGGGTCCATTGTTGGAATCTACTCTCCACACCTCACGAAGCCAAGCCATCCCTGCCTTCCCTTGGGCTGCAGCCAAGGAGGGACCCCTACCCTCCCCCCTCATCACCTCTAGGGCTTTCCTCCACGGACCTTCTAGAGGTCAGGGCGTGTGGGTGGGGAGAGCACTGAGCTGGGAGTCAGTTATCACTCAGCTCTGCTTCAGACTAGTGCTGCAGGAGCACGTCTCTCCCTTACACTTGGCCCAGGTTCGTTGTCTATACACACGATGACCATGGCTCCCTCCCAGGTGGTCACGGGGGGTCATCTCACCCAGTTGCCCCTCCACTCCCAACAACAGATGGGAACTAGACAGGGAAGGGACTGCTTAGGGTGACAGGGTCTCCGAGGCAGGGGGCATGCTCCGTTTTTCCCAGGCTCCCTCCCGCTCCTGCCCAGGGGACCATTGCAGAGGAGGAAGGCCGAGGCGGTGACCATAGGGCCCTGCCTTCCAGCCCCCAGGCCTCAGAGCCAGGCCCTGCATTGCAGCACAAGGCTTGGGAAGCTGATAAGAAGTCCGGGCTTAACTCTGTCTCCAGCCCTGTGCTGGGAGCGATAATGACGCCCTGCCGCCTCCCGCTCAGCCCTGCCCTGCCTGCCTCACCCAAGGGGCCCTGCAGGTGGCTGAGGGTGGGGCAGGGCAGGGGCTGGTGGTGCAGAGGAGGTTGCAGCAGTGTCCTGACATGGGGGCCAGAATCCTAATACTTCGCAGGGCACGGGCCCCTGCCTGGCTGCCCCTCCTGGGCACCCGGGCACAGCGCCTGGCCCCCAGGGTGATGCTCCATCGGCACCCTGTCCTCCTTTAGTTCCTGCATGCAGAGCGAGGCTGGAAGGATGTGGCCCTGGGCTGGAGGTTTGCCAGGGCCTGGGTAACAGAACTTTTATTGAGCACCTTCCGTGCCAGGCAGTTCATAAGATCGCCTTTAACCCTCATAACAACCCTCTGAAGTTGTTATTCTCGTGTTAGAGACGAGAAAGCTGGCGCTGAGCAAACACCACTTCCCCAAGGTCACCTGCAGCTGCGTGTCCGAGCCCAGGCCATGCCGGCCTTTCCCACTGCACTGGCTCCACAGCAGCCCTCCTCCCGTCCACTCAGAGCTCTGGTTAAGACATGGGCTCTGAGGCCAGACTGCCTGGTTCCCGCCCAGAGGTGAATACCTGTCTCAGCACCATTGCGGAGATTCGTTCTGCAGGGCATGCCAAGAGATTGGCACGGGCACTGGCCCAGGGCAGGCACATAATCGACAGCACAGTATGATCCGGGGGCCTCAGGAAGCCGGGCACATGGCAACAGCAGCCTGCTCCTGCCCAGTCTGGTGTGGTTTCCTAGTGGCCGGGCAGCAAAGGTGAAGGATGCTGCCTCCTAGGGGAGGTTGTGGTGGCATTTTACAGAAAATCAAGCAGCACTGCTGTCTCCGGGCCAAAGGGGAATGGAGCCTGGGCTGGGTCTTCAGGGAGCAGCAAGATGACCATGCGTGGGCACTGCCCTCACTCAGGGAGTTCTTGTTAAGACAGCACCTGGTTGCCCTGGCCGGTTTGGCTCAGTGGATAGAGTGTCGGCCTGCAGACTGAGGGATCCTGAGTTCGATTCCTGTCAAGGGCATGTGCCTCAGTTGTAGGCTCCTGGCCCTGGTCGGGGGCTGCAGAAGGCAACCCATTGACATGTCTCTCTCACATGAGTGTTTCTGTCTCTCCCTCTCCCTTCCACTCTCTCTAAAAATCAATGAAAAAATATCCTCGGGTGAGGATTAAAAAAAGAAAAAAGAAAGCACCTGTTGTTTCTGTTTTGTGTGTGTGTGTATGTGGCAGGTGGGGGGAGCAGTGCCCCAGGCTGAAGGAAATCACAAGCTATGGTGTTCTGAGCCCTGTGTCTGGGCCACACTGAGGGCCACTGCCCACAGCTCCTGCCCATCTGCCCTGTCCCCGCCGTCTCTGTGTGTGTCCCCACTGTCTCTCAGCCTGCCGGCCTCACCTCTTCTCACCCTCGCCTTCTCTCCTTTCTCTCCCTGTCCCTCCTCCTCCTCTTGTCACTGCCTTCATGATCTTCCTACTCTCTCTGCCTCTCCCCCCACCCATCTTTCCTGGACTGCAGCTTCCAGGAACACAACGTTAACCGTCTGACTTTCAAGTATTAATTTTTAACTGTGATTCCTGGAAGCCCCCGCGCCTGGGTATGGAAACCCACAGAACCCCGGGCCAGGCCTGCACAGGGCGCCTTTGTCTCTGACCTGGGCTTCCTCCTCCGAGCCAGGCACACGCTCACCAGGCCGCCTTCTGGCCGGCCTGTTTTGCTGCTGAAATCGGGGATTCCCAAACTGGAAAGCGTCTATCTGACTCTCCAGCTCATTTCTCAGTGAGGAGAAAACCGGGGGAGAGGTTCCACAGGGCTTTCCCAGATCGCATGTCTCCGGAGAGGCCAGGCAGGGGGCGGGGGGGTGGGGGGCGGTAGGTCCCCTGCTGCTCAGGCGCCCGTCTCCCCAGGTGAGGAGCCAGATGGGTTGGAGGCCTGGACTGACCCTCCCTCCTTCGGAGGGCTAGTAACTTGGCTCTGGTGGCTAACATCACAGCAGCGAGGACAATA